TAATTATATAATTATCTAACTTTTATGCTAGGGCTGTCAATCATGCAAAAACCTTAAATTAATTGAATTTATTAATTTAACCAGTTCAATTCATTTCAGGACTTGATGAGATTCACCTGTAGGTGCGTTTTGTGTTTGGAGCATCTTGTAGCCTGTAGCTCAAGTAGAGGATTTGAGATCCATGAAAAACACATTTAGTGTGTCATATTTATTTTCAGTTTATGTTGTTGTGTTGTAATTCGGGTGTAGTTGTGGTAGCAGAATGTGGCTATTAATGTTGAGTTGGTGTTTAGTGTGTGTGCGTGAGATGTGATCATGTGATCTGTGAATCTTGCAGAGATTGCGGTTCTGAGTAACCTGGCACAAGTCTTTGACCTGCTGGACTCCATCAAACAAATTCTGAATGTTCGACGGCAAATGACGGACCCGGAGCAGACGCAGGTCCTCAGAGCACTGACAGGTGAGTGAAGAGACAGTAGAGATGGTTTCAGACGAGGGATGCAACGATACCATTTTTTCAGAACCAATCCGATCCAATACCGATACGATCCGATACCGATACGATCCATTCCAATCTGATACCAACACAGTATTATAAACTAGGTTAGTGGTGATTCAGCAGCGGAAGATAGCCTACTCTTGAAAAATCATGAGTACACAATAATTCTATAAAATCTAAACATTTAGTGAAACAACATTATTTGGTGGGGAACAAATAAAAGTTAAAAAGTGTGGGACTAAATCTGGTAAAATGTTACACATTGCTCTTTGTATTGTTGTAAAATACATTTGTGAACACACAAGTAAATATATTTATATATAAAATATATATTATAAAATTAAAAGACATTACTTTAAATGTGTAGCACAGTAATGAAGGCAGCAACATATGATAGATAGTACAGAACAAGAAAGACTATTAATAATCTTTCATTGCGCAAAAGTATTGCAATACGAGAGGGTATGGCTCCAATACAGATGCACTTGAAGCAACACGGAGTCACAGCGCTCCGCATTGAAGAGTTTAAAGTACAAAGAGAAGAGATACTGATGCTTAGTGTATTATATCTGTGCAATAGTTTATTGAGCCTTTTCTTTTAACAGTTTTAAATCTCATTTATTGTGCGCTCTTGTGCTCGTTTTGACTGTCGTAAACCAAACGTGACACGCAGTTTGAATGCTGAATGGAGAAAGACAGACAGCCGCAGCGGAGAGAAGAGTTAACATGATCTTGAATGTAATGACTCAAATATTCATCTGTACCTCACATTAAACTATAGAACAGCTTCAGAACACTTGAAATATAGTGCACCAAAACTTTATGGTGCTTTATAATGTTTCTGTGCCTTTCGTGGGGCTTAACAATAACACAGAATAGGATATGCACAATATAAGATTTGGATCGGTCTCGTCTGACCGATACCCGATCCGGCAGAAAATGCCAGTATCGGAGCCGATACCGATACTGAATATCAGATCGATGCATCCCTATTTCAGACTAGAACTTTTAAAGTAGGCTGCAGCAATGGGCGTGCCGAAAGGTAGGGGCGTGGAGAAACGTCTTCCTGATTGGTTGACAAAGCTGTCTGTCAGGGTGTGGGGGTGGGGTTAGGGGTAGTTTCTGTTGTACTGATTCACCTTTCAGAACGCCCATTGCTCCAGGCTGCACTACCCCCATCTCAAACCTTTGGACAAGCTGAAACATTTTCCAAACTCAGTCTGTCTGTGAATTCAGTTCATTTTTTGAAGTGATCTTCTGTCAGTCAAGTAACTTCTATCTGTGTCTGTCAGCAGAAAAACACGAGTGTCATCTCGTGCGAGTTACATTTTTTACACACTTTATTTTGATGCTCCCCAACAGACATTCTTCTAACTTATGCCATATTTGGACAGGAATAGTTTTCCAGGGGGTCGATGGAGAAATTTGTGTTTCACTTTGCGATTTTAATCCCGTCCGAATCTGCCACGTCTGTGTTTTTCTCACACAACCTCAGTAATAACTCCAGAGCAAATTACCTACTGTTTTTTTGCACACTCAGTGATCCTCTGAGAAAACGAATCCCGTCCGAATGCAAATGTCTGTGATTGTTGACGCTATTTAGTTTTTTCACAGCGCGTTTCCTTGTGTGTTTTGGCCACCGTGAACTACCGTAGATGCTCTTACTTCTGTCAGGACCACTATCGTCAAAGATGATTTACAATTAGCATACACTGCACACATTTTTGATATGTTTGCCTCCCGGCAAAGAAATAAAATAATGAAATGAAAAGCCAGGTCACGTAAACTGTTAAGACTGGCTATTGTAATATCAGTGTCAGATAAGATTACTCACCTTCACTCAATTACATAATGTTTTAATTATATATGTACCTTTACGAAAATTGAACATGGTTTTACTACAAATAAATAAAAAACAAAATAGTTAAGCTGACGTAACCACAAATTAACCATGGTTTTGTTATACTAGCCATAGCTTAACCATGGCATTTGTAGTAAACCTGTGGTTATACTAATGGCAAACAGTCCACATGATGATACGCAATGTACTGTAGTAAATCAGCTCAAAAGGGAAATATTTATGACTAATTATAACTGGTTATGATTAATAATAAATATTTAGATTAGATCTTCGAATTAACTGTAGCAGAATCAATATTACCATTACTTGATCTGTCCGTCCACCGAGCAGACAAAATAATCATTTATCAATTCAAAGAAAGATTATTTTCCTGGCCAAGGAAGAATAACTGTCCTTCTTTCCAAAGATCATGCATGATTCTACGCAGACGCTACAGTACACATACAGAGAGTGTGATCTCTGCAACACCTAGATGTACAAAACAGACCCTCCCATCTCTGTAATGAACACAGAGATGTTAGTCCTGTCTGAATCGGTACATAAATCGCAGACGTTGGGTGATAGGAATCAAAATTCAAACGTAGTTTAGAAAACTAGTCCCGTCCGAATAGGGCTTTAGACTCATTGGAAAAACATGCCTGTGGTGATATTTCTGCAAAATGACATTACGTTGCTTCTTGCACGCTTTGTGCCACTTTCAAAGTTCAGTTTTATCCCACATATGTGAAAGTGAATGTGGCAATGTTTTTTTTTGTTGTTGTTTTTTTTACGATGGTTGTTGTTTATATCGTGGCAGTTGTTTGAAAATGAAAAGTTTAATGCTCAATAATGTACCACCTACACCAAACCCTACTCTAAATCTAACAAGTAGTGTTGACAAAAGCAAACATGGGATGAAAACGTGTTTGCTAAAGAAACCATGCCCTTTAGCTTGATTCTACCAGTCTGAGCTTTTTTATTGAGTGTCGTGACTCGTGTTTTGACTGGATTTGTTCCCGAGTGCTCAATATTACAAGTGCAGTGCTGTTCCAGCTGAGCTACTGATCAAGTTTAGTGTGTTAGATCAGAAATATTATCTGATAGCAGAGTTCAGCTCCAACCTTGATCAAACTCGCCTGCTAGTAACTTTTGAGTAATCCTAAAGACCTTGTTTAGCTTGTTCAGGTATGTTTGATTAGGGTTGGAGATAAACTCTGCAGGAAAGTGGATCTCGAGGGCCAGAGTTGAGAATCCCAATAATATAATATAAATGACTAATTAATGAATGAATCAGTGAAATGAGTATATAAATGGTTTAATATGAATATGAATTATATTAATTAATTAATTCAAAGAAAGTAAAACACAACACAAATGTATGGTTGCTGTCTTAAAGCAACATACACCCTGGTTGCTACTAAGAATTCTTGGATCCCTCAAGTGAATGAGAAAAGCCATACATAGCTGGCTATGTGATGTCAAAATGTATTCATTTACAAATTATACACTATAATAAAGTGTCATAACAACAAATGCAAGAAACCTTGTGAAAATAAGTCTTTCTTAACCAATATTTTGCCCCTTTGATCATAATTTGTGAGAAGGAATAAAAGTTGGTGTTTTACTGCCACTAGTTCATTACAGCTGGAAACTGAAATGCACTGTATGTATAGGTATGTTTTTTAGGGTTTTGCAAAAATGTGGAGGCATGTTTTTTCAATGAGCCTGGGTTGCTTCTCTGATGACGTTTGCACCGGCTCTAGGGCTGAACAATTATCCCTCCCCTCCAGCAACCTGTCACTTCACAACAATTAGTGAGTTGTCCAATCAATTCCCAATAAACAAAATAAAGTCCTGCCCTCTTTTCTTTCTCATTCGAGAAGTCGTTTCACTCACACATACGTCACAGTTGGGAAGAAAACAATCGCAATTTCCATTTCATGCCATCTTTGAGGGGGGTTTAGACATAAGCATTGTGCTTATAAGGGCACTCATTACCGTGGTAAAGTCACAGAGTAACACTTTATTTTAAGGACCAATTCTCACTATTAACTAGTTGCTTATTAGCATGCATATTTCTAGAATGTTGGCAGTTTATTGGTACTTATAAAGCACATATTAATATTAAGGCCCGTTCACAGCAAGAATGATAACTATAAAGATAACTATATTAGTGTCCACACCAGCCTATGATATCATTCTCGAGCTCTTTACAGCAGTATTGATTCTGAGCGGCTGTCAATGATTTATCGTTCATCAGCTGGAAAAAATTGTCCTGAAAGTGATTCCAACGATATCGTTTCTCTGTGCCTTTATCGTTATAGCTGTGGTGTGGACTCTGCTATTCTTAAAAGGTAGGGTAGGCGATTTCGGAAAGGCTAGCAATAGCAAGCTAGCTTTGAAAGCAAGATCCCCTCCCTCCGTTCACTTTGTAAAGCCACGCCTCCCCCAAAACACATGACCAGAGGCTAACCAGCGACACGATGAGAGATGGCGTTGGTGAAGGATTGAATGCAACGCTGTCAGATTACCTCATGTCTCATTCACTGGTGAAAAATCATGTCTGCGCAAACAGGGTGCGCAGAGGTATGAAAACACATATTTGACAGGCAGGCAGGACAGCCTATCCTAATGTTCGGACCAAACATTTTGATTGGACGAACATTTTATGGTCCTACGCCTTCCACAGACAATATAAATACATGTAGACCACTTAACTTAGTGATTGCTATCGAGATGTGAAGAGACTTTCAACTAGCATAACAAAAAATGTTTTTGAACCAAATCACCATACCCTGCCTTTATTGAGAAAGATTTTTTAGAACTATATCTTTATCGTTATCTTTATAGTTATCGTTTTTGGTGAGAACGAGCCTTTAGTCTGCATGACCATACTCTAGATCCCTAAATCAAACCCCATACCTAAACTTAACAACTACCTTACGTAAACAATAAGGTACTCGAGGCTATGCTGTATTGTGAATAAATCACGGATGAAGGGCGTTGTTAGGCACGACCATAGACTGTATAAAAACATGGACGTAGTGTCCGTGACGTCACCCGTAGGTTTCGAAGAGCGTTTTTGAAGCTGGTTGCTGAAACCACACCCACCTAGCTCGACGGTGGTGACAGCAATAACTATTAATAAGCAGCAAATCAGGAGTTTAATAATGCATAAGAGACTTTCAACCAGCATAACAAAAAAATGTTTTTGAACCAAATCACCTACTCTGCGTTTAATATTGAGAATGATTTTTAGAACTATATCTTTATCGTTATCTTTATAGTTATTGTTCTTGGTGAGAAAGGGCCTTTAGTCTGCATGACCATATTCTAGATCCCTAAAGGCCATTCACACCAGGAACGATAACTATAAAGAAAACGATAAAGATATAGTTGTAAAAATCGTTCTCAATATTAAAGAATAGCAGAGTCCACACCACAACTATAACGATAAAGGCGTAGAGAAACGACATCGTTGGAATCACTTTCAGAACGATTTTTTCCAGCTGATGAACGATAAAAATATCGACAGCCAATCAGAATCAATACTGCAGTCACAAGCCCGAGAATTTAAAGAGGTAGACGAGCGTGCGCTGAGAATAAACAGACGATATCGTCCGCTGGTGTGGATGATAATATAGTTATCTTTATAGTTATCATTCATGGTGTGAACGGGCCTTTAATCAAACCCCATACCTAAACTTAAAGGGATAGTTCACCCAAAAATGAAAATTCTGTCATTAATTACTCACCCTCATGTCGTTCCAAACCCGTAAGACCTTCGTTCATCTTCGGAACACAAATTAAGATATTTTTGATGGAATCTGAGAGCTCTCTGACCCTCCCATAGACGGCAAGGATATTACCACGATCAACGCACAGAAACATAGCAAGGAGATCGGTAAAATACTCCATGTGACATCACTGGTTCAACCGTAATTTTACAAAGCTACGACAATACTTTTTGTGTGCAAAGAAAACAATAATAACATAATTTATTCAACAATTCTTCTCCTTGAGTTTCCGTCTTCCACCATTTTGGAAAGTACTCCAGAATGTAATCTTGTGTCTATGTCCTTCCTATGTTTCTGTGCGTTGATCGTGGTAATATCCTTGCCATCTATGGGAGGGTCAGAGAGCTCTCAGATTCCATCAAAAATATCTTAATTTGTGTTCCGAAGATGAACGAAGGTCTTACGGGTTTGGAACGACATGAGGGTGAGTAATTAATGACAGAATTTTCATTTTTGAGTGAACTATCTCTTTAACAACTACCTTACTAACTATTAATAAGCAGCAGATTAAGAGATTAATGATGCAAATTCAAAGTTAATAGTTAATAGTGAGATCTGGTCAGTCTCATAGATTGTTTCAATTCACTGAAAACAGCGCCATCTCTTGTGTGTATGTTTAGCATTGGAACAGCAGGTGGAGGAGCAGAAGCGGCAGCAGACGCTCAGCTGGTTGTCTCAATCCCAGGCCCTCAGCAGTCTGGTTCTCCCCTCCACGCCTCCATCCAAACGCGCTCCCAAACGCCCCCGCCTCCAGCGGCCCGCCTCCATCACCGTGCTCTCCCCCATCACACTCTCCTCCATCGGCCAGTCGTTCGCAGTGGCCGGCCTCAACCAAGCCTCCAACACTGTAACCCTACACGCCCTCCCGGCCGGCTCGCAGCTCTTCACCAGAATCGCCGCGGGTTCGGATGGAAAAACCGAAGCCATTGCGCTCCATCCGGCGTCTGGGCTCACGCTGCTGGGCGCCACAGCCGTGCCGGACCACGGGCAGCTTGTGAGCCCCGTCGAGCTCGTCCAGTTCACGCAGAAGACGACCTCCGGCGTAGCCCAGGACGGTCAGGTGGTGGACGGTACGGTAATGATGCAGGAGAGTGTCGTCAGTGTAGTGCAAGAGGACGAGAACCAAGACAACACCACCCTGATCGAGATAGACCCGGCCACCGCCGACCACAGCATGAGCGTCATGGAGCTGCAGCTGGAGGGCGAGGAAGCCGAGGGTGGAGCGACTGTGGTGGAAGGAGGCGAGGAGGTGGTGCAGGGCGAGACAGAGAAGGCGATACAGCTGGATGCCAATGGTCAGTTCCACAATTTGCCCGTTGTAGTGGTGGAGGAAGAGACGCAGGGCGCTGGCAAAGCCAAATGAGACACGACACACTCACACGAACCGCCCTCAGAGACTGACGGACCGAATCAGACAGGGACAGGGATTGTGTCGCCCCAGGTGGAGTTTGTGTTTGCCCTTCCAGCTGTCTTGTTTTTTCATTACTCTCTTCCTGCACAGCCAAGCTCAGCTCTTCAAGCCTGACTTGTCATGTATTTGTACAAGCAAGTTCAGTATTCCTTTTTTTTTTTTCGTGCGAGAAGCAACAATTTGTGAAGTTTCGTTGGAACACATTCAGTATTTGCTTTTGTTTTTGAGTGTGGAAGTTTAGATTGGGCACTTATTTTTCAGTTTCCCTTTGTTTCGGTGCCAAAATGTCATGTTGTAGCCAGATTATCCACTTTGTGAATCTCCGATCTGAAGGTGAAGACTCACAGTTCATGTGGTATTTAAGACACTCCCATAATGAGAATTGACACTGTCTGTGGTCTTTTTGTACTTTCTGACATCAGGGTATAAATGGCACTAATGTTGGTGATGTTTTAGCACAGTGGTTTTTAACTCCGGACCTGGAGACTCACAGCACTTCAGTTCATGCAGTGCTCTGCTAGTGATATTAGAGTCTGAATTGTGTGTAAATAAAGGAGGTGAAAGTGCAGTGCTTGGGTTCCCAGGATCAGAGTTGAGATCCACACCGTTAGCACACATAATGAAAGATGTGTTATGAATGTTTGTGAATGGATCCTGTGTGTCCTTCACTGAAAATAAAACGGATCTTCCTTTCCCCATGAGTTATATATTTTAAATGATGGTAGATCGCGGGATTGTGCATTTCAAAGTCTGTAACAGTTTCAGAGCTTATGTTTTGGAAAGTAATTGCAAAAATACTCGATTTGGAGGTTTATAAATACTCTGTTGTTAATTTTCAAACAAAAGTTAATTTATTCAGTTTGTGCAAAATGTATAATTCTGTAACGATTTACTCACCCTCATGTCGTTCTCAACTCACAGACCTGCAAATGGAGATGTTTAGCAGAATGTTCACACTTACACAGTTCAGTCAACATTATTTTGCTGCTTGTTTGAATGAATTAAAATGAGCTAATGCATTAAGTCTTAAACATTTTTACCTAACATAAATTTATTACATGCAACTGACTTAAATTTGTAAGACAGAAGTGTATTTAACTGTTTTGTGTGAAATTAAACTTTCTAGTTCCCAGCATGCTTTGCATGGGACTAGGCGAGGAGAGTGAATGTTGAAATTAAAGGGTTAGTTCACCCAAAAATGAGAATTCTGTCATTAATTACTCACCCTCATGTCGTTCCAAACCCGTATGACCTGTAATTACCACGATCAAGGTCCAGATACGTAGCAAGGAGATAGGTAAAATAATCCATGTGACATCAGGGGTTCAACCATAATTTCACGAAGCTACGATAATACTTTTTGTACGCAAAGAAAACAAAAATAATGACTTTATTCAACAATTCGTCTCCTCCGCGTCACCGTAGCGCCATTTTGGAGAGTATCCACTGAACGCAAACAGCGTATGCCATTCTGTGTCAGCTGTGCCACGCGGATATGTTGTTTTCGTTCAAATCAAAGCGTAAACAACGTAGAAAACATATCCGCGTGACGCAGCTGACAAAACAGCATACGCTGTTTGCGTTCAGTGGATACTCTCCAAAATGGCGCTATATGGTGACGCGGAGGAGACGAATTGTTGAATAAAGTCGTATTTTTAGTTTTCTTTGCGTACAAAAAGTATTATCGTAGCTTCGTGAAATTATGGTTGAACCCCTGATGTCACATGGATTATTTTACCGATCTCCTTGCTACGTTTCTGGACCTTGATCGTGGTAATTACATTGCTGTTTATGGGAGGGTCAGAGAGCTCTCAGAATTCATCAAAAATAACTTAATTTGTGTTCTGAAGATGAACGAAGGTCTTACGGGTTTAGAGCGACATGAGGGTGAGTAATTAATGACAGGATTTTCATTTTTGGGTGAACTATCCCTTTAAGCATTTTTTAATGTTTTTTGTTGAGATGAGGTGAGAAAGTGGGACTTGTTTGTTTTTAATGAATTGAATCAAAATTCCAGAGGATGATGCATTCCCACCAGCCAATTTTTTTAATTATTAAAATGATCAAGAATGACAGTAAAAGCATATACAATGTTACAAAAGATTTGTTCAAATAAATGCTGTTCTTTTGAACGTTCTACTGTATTCATCAAACACTCCTGAAATGTATCACAGTTTGTACAAAAATATTAATCAGCAAAAGCTCTTTTCGACAATGATAATAATCAGAAATGTTTCTTGAGCAGCAAATCAGCATATTAGAATGAATTCTGAAGGATAATGTGACACTGAAGACTGGAGTAATGATGCAAAAAAAAAAATCGCTTTGCATCACAGGAATACATTACATTTTGCAATACATTTAAATGGAAAACAATCAAATAAATACAGACTTGGACAGCATAAGTGACTACTTTCAAAAACATTCAAAAATCTTAATGATCCCAAACTTGCTTAAGTGTGGAACCAGCATTTGCCACCCGCACCTGTTTGTACACTGTGACAGACTGTGACGTGTTCAGATATGGATAATAACCTCATGAGAAATATATCAGTGTCAAAGCATCCATTGCTTGGTTAACTTACACAAGTTTGCCTTGTCACTACATCAGACAGTGTGGATATGCGAACAAAAATGACTGCAGTCTGAACAGACACAAATAGTTCTAAATACATGTAACTAACAGTGTGAACAGTCAATCTGAAGAATCACATTTCCTCATAGTCATGATAACATATATGTGACCCTGGACCACAAAACCAGTCAATTTTTTGAAATTGAGATTTATACATCATCTGAAAGCTGAATAAATAAGCTTTCCATTGATGTATGGTTTGTTAGGACAATATTTGGCCGAACTACAGGTGCATCTCAATAAATTCGAATGTCGTGGAAAAGTTCATTTATTTCAGTAATTCAACTCAAATTGTGAAACTCGTGTATTAAATAAATTCAATGCACACAGACTGAAGTAGTTTAAGTCTTTGGTTCTTTTAATTGTGATGATTTTGGCTCACATTTAACAAAAACCCACCAATTCACTATCTCAACAAATTAGAATATGGTGACATGCCAATCAGCTAATCAACTCAAAACACCTGCAAAGGTTTCCTGAGCCTTCAAAATGGTCTCTCAGTTTGGTTCACTAGGCTACACAATCATGGGGAAGACTGCTGATCTGACAGTTGTCCAGAAGACAATCATTGACACCCTTCACAAGGAGGGTAAGCCACAAACATTCATTGCCAAAGAAGCTGGCTGTTCACAGAGTGCTGTATCCAAGCATGTTAACAGAAAGTTGAGTGGAAGGAAAAAGTGTGGAAGAAAAAGATGCACAACCAACCGAAAGAACCGCAGCCTTATGAGGATTGTCAAG